TAATAAATTAAAAACAAAATTTGTACGACCCCAACACTAAAAGTATTCAAACTATCAATCGTTTGAAGTTGATTGCATTTTCTTTGTATAGTCGTGGACAAATCGGTTGCGACTTTTTTTTATGTTTTATAGGTTTCAAAACGCGCTAATATTTTGCAAATGCGAACCACGATTGATGTTATACTGTCTCTGGACTAAAGATAGTACATCGCGGTGTGGTTCGCATTTGCAAAATATTAGTTACCTATAAAATATATATTGTGTATGTTAGATATATTAGAAATCTATAAAAAAAAATGCCGCAACCGATCTGTCCACGACTGTACATACTCGTATATTTAATGCTATATTAAAAAGTATCGTATACGTAGGAAGGAATTTTTGTGAACCTGCTGACACGCAACGCAATAAAATCTTAAAGCGTGCGTCGGGTGCGTTTGGCATAAGATCGTCCGTCGTACTTTGGTAGCCTCCCACAGTGGCCTCATTAAATGTTTAATCGTTCTCGCTTCCGCGATGTTCTGTTGTTCGTGCTGCCTGCCGCATTCCGGGCAGAAATTGCGCAAGCACGTTGAACACTGTATGAGCGCCTTGAAAAAGAGGATAAACATATTGCGGAGAAGCCTATAAAACATTTCTACATTCTTTACGATACGATAAAACTTTAAAAGAATGCAACAGTAATGTCTAGAATCGTCACCGGAACTTCGCCTGTGCAGGTGTCGCAAAGTACTCTGTTGACCAGCCTACGTCGCACGGTGTCCATAACTGTGCGGTGTTGCAAGGGATAGTGCGGCGGCGGTACGGCGGAATTGGCGTTCGGCAAATGCGAGTCGCACAACGGGCACGTTTCGTAAATGTTGTCGGGTTGCGCGTAAATTCGATTGTCGTCTCGCAAGTCGCTCCTTGAAGAAACACTCGGAGCTGCCAGACATGCACACATATAATTCTGTCGAATATGTCTTTGTAACAATTAAATCAAAAGTACGGATTATGACGTTAGTTGCATCGTTAAAAATATTGAGTCGCGTTTCCCTTCGTTGAAATCAAATCTCTCCCCTCGCCACTTACGTTTGCTCATCAACTCGTAAACGCAGGACAAGCATATAGGATGCAGGCAGGGAAGGAGTCTAGGCTCCTCCATCCTCTGCCCACATCTGGGACACTGGAAGTCTGCATCGTGCGGCAATCTGTACGAAGGGTGCGTCGGTTCCCTCGGGTCTTCCTCGACTTCGCTGCCCATTTTGCTGCGAGTAAAAACGGGGGAAGGCTGGTACGCAAAGCCATTCGAATTCGACCAAGGAGCACGCCTCTTTCTGGAATCTTCGTTACTGAAAATAATCAAGGACATTTTATAGGACATTGTAAAAAGAGGTCTTAAAAATTCTATTCAGAGTCAGCTGTGCGACTTTATTACACTATGTAAAATTAATACTTTATGTAGTGTAATAAATTGTAATTTTAGCTCGATTCAAAAAGGCTTTGTACGTTAAATCGTATGTCACATATATGTTAATGAGCTTTAATCTCAGGTATCGCTCACCGTCTGTTCGAGTTAGATGCCATCGTCATTGGTTCGACGTGAACGAAATCGTCGGTATTTATACCTTTGCTCTTGCATTCGACCAAGTTCGCATAAATATGATTGCTGCTACCGAGCTCACTGCTGTCTGCCGCTGCCTCGCGACCGCAACAACCTTTCGAAGAGCGCGGTTTTGCGGAACAATTTATGAAATCCATTGGCACGCTGGAAAAAACGAAGTTGTAACGAGAGCTACGATAAGTATATAATTTTCTCCGACCGATCAAAATCGCATTAATGACTCACCAAGAAATTAAGGTACAATTGACGGGAGATACACGAACGAGTGAGCTGACTAGGCCGCACGAAGTCTTCCGTACTACTTCAGACTCGTTCTCCAACAGCGTAGCGGGTTAAAAATAACTTTAAAACATAGGCTATGAGCCAAGCGCTATGTGGAACTTGCCTTGAAATGCGAAATCTTAGCTGTTCTGGTTGCGAAGTTATAGATATCTTTGATATTTAGATCATCCGTTCGAAATGTAGAAAAATCTCGTTCCCTATAAACGTTTGCCAGAACGCGCGAAACTAGCTAGGTAAAAAATACTTAATATTTATGCGACAATTTATCGGGATGATTCTCTCCTATAATAAAAAACTTTTTCAAAGAGAATTTTTTAACAGATTATTTGTGAACAAAAGAAATTTATAAATAATATCGGAAGCAACATATATTTAATTTATATTAGGCGATAATTTTTTTCTATTGAAAATAAATTTTTCTACTGGAAAGTAGGTACGTGCGAGGCTTCAGTAATAAAATATGTATGGATAATAAATTTTATTTAGTATCCATGTAGTGTAAAAATAAGATCGGTAATGTATATATTAAAGAGTAAGCAGTACATATAAACGACATACAGACTTGATACAGTGCTTACTACATATCGATTTTAATTAAAATACATTCTAAGGCCATAATAATAATATTTAGACAAGCTCTCAAATAGGTTGACGGTCGCTACGCGACGCTGCTGATTTCGTCGCGTCAGCGATCATTGGCGCAGTTAGAATCACATAAGTACAGGAATAAAATTGATATGATACTTAAGACGAATTAAGTAACATGACGTAGAAGTGTGACGTTATTATTTATATCGCATATCTATAAACAATACTTAAAAGTCCATCTACCTTCTTGTTATCAATATCGATTCTGGAGGCGATCATTCTTATAAGGTACACAAGTCAATTCACACCTTCATGACTAGTATTTCAAATTTGGCCAAACTTACACAACTGTGTGCGCTATTTATTCTTTGCACCATTATCGTTGTATTTCTGAAGTTTAATAAAATTATATAAAGTTAGATGGGAAATATCTTGATTTTTTTTTATTACATCTTAATATGGTATTGTGCTTATTACCTCATGTCTTTATTCGAGAACCGACTTTGATAAATCCGTTCCGAGATTTACCGTTTCTTATATGACTACCGCTTTTACTCTTGCGATGCTCGAATAAAACGTCGTCAGAATCGGTGTCGGAGTCTGATAATACCATCTTGTTGTGAGTTGAAACTGCGAGAGAAAGATTATTATAACTTAATAATTATAATAAATGTGATACATCCAAGCATTCGGGATATATTAGGTGTACATACAATTCAATTTTCGGTCCCTACATTTAATTGATTACAGCACCTATTCAAATTTAATTTTTTTTTCACCTTGCAGTCGTTTTAAAGCTTTAAATTTAAAACAAAGTATCAACAGTTAACGGTACTGCCATCTATCTCAAAACACAGTAGCGGTAGTCGTTCGAAAAGCAGCATTTAAGGCATTGCCTCCTTTTCGCATTTCAATTGAAAAAAAATTCCGACAAGGCTAAGAAAATGATTTATCCGGCCTTAGGTGAAAATGCTGTCGTTTTATAGTACGTGTAAAAAGTGATTTCGAAAGATATGCCTGTGGTACGCACGCTGATTGTACACGGGCATATGGGATTTATACAATTTTGAAATGCGAAAAGGAGGAAAGTGCCTTAAATGCTTCTTTTCGAACAACATTGCTTTTTACCGCTAATGTGTTTTAAGATAGACAGCAGTATCGTCAACTATTATACCTTGTTTTAAAGTTAAAAATGCGCTTTAAAATGACTATACGATGGGAAAAAAATTAAATTTGAATAGGTGCTGTGGTCGATTAAATGTAGGTGCCCAAAATTAAATTGTACCTAATATATATGCAAATATTTTAAAAAGATAATTCTTAAAATAATTTATGCAAGAAAAATTAAAAGTAGTAAAATAAAAAATTTCAAATAGTAAGATTTTATAATTTTCATACTCTTTTATCTAAATTAACATTAAGAAACTCTACTTTATCTATCTGTTTAGACCAAATTGTACAATATGACATTGTATGATGTCAAGTAATGTATAATATCAGTAAGATATCAAATAAATATTACTGATATTACTGTTATTTTATGTGTAAAAGTTAAGTAATAAAAAGTTACGTACAAGCACTACTGTCATCTTCCGGCTCTGGGTGTAGCAAAGAATAACGCGGTGGTTTCTTCTTAGGCCGAAGCAAACGTCTTCTACCAGCGCATATCCTTTGGCACAAGCAAACAAGACCCCAAATAAATCCAACCCAGCATACGACTAATGATAGCAACGCTATTATCACATACAGGATACTCCAATCTGAAAAAAAAAAAGATTAAAACGTAATGTTGAATAATATGGAGTAGGCTGAAAAATGTGTGTAAAATAATTTAAAAGATATATGTGCATATATTTTGAGACACTTCGCGCTAGGTAATAGAAAGAATAATTTAACGTACCGCAATTAGAGTCTCCATTACCAAAATACTTTTGTATTAAGTTCTGCATCCAAAATGCTTCGCACAAGCATTGCCTTGTCTCTTGATCGCATACACCATGACCTAAATAGAAATGTACTTTCATTTTCTCACATAATATATTTGTAATTTTTATATAATCAGTTTTTGCGCGCGAGCACTTTATATTGCACTTTGATATTTGTACTTTCAACAAACCTGAACAATTATTTTGGCATACAGCGGTATCTATATTAGCAACCGACAGTTGCAAGAGACCGGAATCTTGCAGTAGCTTCTCTTTGAGTCTTTTGACTACTTCTGGACCCGGCAACATTGTTTTCCCCGCCTTCTTTTCCACGTAAAACACCAGGACGGCCTTTCCGGTGTGCGGTTCCGCTCTTAAGCTACGCACGATGATCGAAGCTTCGTCTCGCAATAACATCTGCAGTTTCACTACCAACGAATCTTTCTGCGAAACCGTCAACATACTAGCTCCAATGTTTAGCGTTAGTTCTACCAAATGAAATATTTGCGGATCTATGGAATAGAAAGGGAAAGTCAAGTTTTTTTAAAACTGCCACGTTATAAAGTGATATATATATATTTTTCAGATACCAACCGGGTTTCACGATTACTGATACGGTGTCTTCACTGTTCAAACCTTGATCGTCCGTTACTTTCAATCGAAAGACATAACGGCCAGGAACTATATCTGTTAGCTGTAAAAAAAAAAAGAAAAACAGGCAACACATAAACATATGCATATATGCATTGATACATTGTGTATAGAAAAGGATGGAATTTGCATTTTAGTTTTACCATTAAAACCGGTGATTTATCGGTATCTTGAACTATAGTACCAATCGCAAGACTAGACTGATCTCTGGTCCACAGCCACTGCCCTATCCTTAAGTCGTCGCTCGACTGCGAGCCATTAATGATTAGCGCGCTGATCGGCGCCGTCACAACTTGATCGCCACCAGCGTTCGCTTTCGGAGGCGCATTTTTATCTAGGGAATAAAATATTTTTGCAATATACATCGTAATATCATAACATACGATTACGAGATAGTACTTACTCTGCGTTACCTTCACGCTGATCGTATCCGAATTCGCGTTCCCATTGTCATCAACGACGGTCAATTTAAATACATAATCACCCTTGGTTAGTTTCGTGATGTTTGTAACGGATTCGTTAACCGTGGCAAATTCAGCGTTATTAGGCCCGCTGTAACACGAACATGATACATTCGTAAATCCAAGACGTAAGGCATGCAAGGCTGTGAGACGTAATTTAATTAGATACATTGTACCTTACTTGCTCCCAATGATACAAGACAATCTTTATGTCATCCTTACTTCTTGTGCCATTCAGAACAGCGCGGGTTGTCGGTAGTGCTATGCTTATATCGTCACCAGCATCGGCTGCAACAAAATTAATTAGATTAGAAGCGGTACACTTGAAACACAACTGCGCGATGCGTTAAAGAAAATTTGATGGATTTGATATTGATAACAAAATCGTTATATCAAATATAATGATTAACAAATAAATAAGAAAACACAAATCAACAACTCACCCTTTGGCGGCTTATTCGTCGGAGGTTTCACAAAGACATGCACCTCCGCCGTGGAAGATTGCTCGGAGTCGTCCGTCACTTTAAGTACAAATGTATACATCCCCTCCTCCAAGTTTGACAATTGTAAGTAAGGTGTTCTTGTGTTCTGCATATCCACCGCTTTGTTCTGATCGGACGGACTCTTGGTCCACTCCCAACTGGCTATTCCTCGATCGTCGGTGCTCAAGTTACCGTTCAGCGTCAACGTATTTTGAGGTAGATAAATGATAACGTCTTGTCCGGCGTTTGCACTCGGGGGATAGTCGATCACTTTCAACACAGTTATATTGGCACTTGTCGAATTTGTAACGTGATTTGAATCTTCAACTGTCAATCTGCAAAAAATACGATTTTATATGAAGACCATCAATATTTTTATCCAAGGAACGCGCCAGGGAAGGCTTTTCAGGAGCTGTCTCTGTATTTAAATGTCATATAAGCTACATTTGCGTTTAAACAGCTAGAGTACTAACTTGAATGTGTAATTGCCGGCAATAAGATTATCTAATTGAAGCGTGGGTGTGTCCACAAGGTTGGGCTGATATCCAATCGGGCCTTGTTGCAGCTCCCAGTGATAAGAGATGACACGATCGTCATCTTTACTACTCGAGCCGTCCAGGACCGCGCCTGTGTTCGGTAGCTTCACAATTTGCGAGGCAGGAGTGATTATGGCAATTGGTGCTTGGTTGATACGTTTCGCTAAAGTTAAAAAAACAACTCAGATTAAAAAGAAGACCGTTCTCTGCAGATAATAAAAAAGAAAAAAGAAAATTTTCAAAGCGCTTACGAGGTAAAACGCTAACATTGGCATAGGCTTCTCCATAAGCGTTCGGACTGCTTACAGCTACCTTAAACGTGTACAAGCCTTCCGACAAGTTGCTCAATTTTACAGTAACGCGATTCTGATCCGTCATTGTTCCGGTGTGCCCCTCCGGTTGACTAAGCAGACTCCAGGCGTAATTATAATGTTGATTGCCCCGTTCAGCGGGCACAGTATACGCGGACAGCGTGGCTTCGTTCTCCGGTAATCTCACTTCCTTGGAAACTGCCGAGACCAACAGCTGTTTCATCGTCGGCTTGATCGACGTGCCAGTCTCTTTCACAGTTGGAATTCTCGCTTGTTGCGTTACGCCGAGGTCAACAGCGTCTATTTCGTCCATTATTATACAAGTGCCTGCAGCGACACGTATAAATTATTAAAAATGTGAATGATTCCAAGTCTACTTATTTTTTTTTTTTAATAACGGAGTAGATGTGATGCTAAAAAAAATTCTAACACGATAAAGGTTTTAAATACATACAAAAATCGAAAAAAATTTCTTCTACCAGATTGTATTGCACAAATAAGTAAAACCAAAACATTATATACATACCAGCCATATTCCGCTTGAAGCCTAGAGGACACTGACAAGTTCCAACATCAGTATCCCCGTGTTTTACACAAATTTCATTATCCAGGCAACCCGATTGATCTATACAGTTGATTCTGCTTGCTTCGTTAAACAATATTTGATCTTGCTCTGTGCCGTCTGTATTCAATATTCTAAACATACGTGATGCAATCATTTTATTATTATTTATCGCTCAAAAGGGGAAAAGATACAAACGATACATGTAAAGTTCAATCTCAAACTTACACGGCATTGTCGTCATTGACTTGATCCAACACATCGCTCCACACTTTGTTACTCTCCACGGGTCTGACCAACACCATGCTCGGTGGATTGTCGTTCGCCAATTCGGGTCTATACAGCGGCACGCACACTATGGAGCTATCGCATTCCACATGATAGCACGTACCGTTGTGCATAAACGCTACGTTACACATGGATTTCTTGCAGCAGGCCATAACGCAGTCCTGCATGGTGGACAAGTGAATCTGCATGTAAGTTCCGCCAGTCAAATTTCCACGGGGCAGGTAACTTGTGAACACTCGCGGATACAGATCCGGGCACAGCAGTTGCACGTTCCACCTGGCATAATCGCCGATGCAGCTTTCGAATAGTAATAAGTATAATCCCAGGCGATATACTCCAATCATGTTAGCTGTACAATGGAATTTAAAGTCACACACAGGCATGTTTTTTTTCTAATTTACGAGACATTAATAAAGAATATTATCAATGGTGCAATGCGTAGTGTAATAATAATGACAAATAACACAGAAATCAAATAAAAACAATATATCAGAAAAATAAATACATTATTTTGATACAATTGAGTGATAAATAATAATGAAATAATACATGGTTTACAACACAAAAAAAAATATATCAACACACATCAATGATATAAACACACAAATTGTAAATCCAATAAAAATATAATGAATAATAAAATAAAAAACATGGTTGAGACAACACAAAAAAAGTGCATTTCAACCCATGTGTCAATGACATAAACACATAAATTGTAAATCTAATAAAAATATAATGATATAATTCATATAATGCATATAATTTTTTTATAGTACATTATAAAATATATATTTAAATGACTTAACTGAACGTGTTATCTAAGATCGACAAAGTGCGATATGTATTGAAGCGTGGTTGAGGAAATATATATCGGGTATCAATAAAGCTCTCAATAAAATAGGATACGTACATACCTGATTCTCGTCGCACACCGTTGTGAAAACAGAAGACGGGACGCTCGTGGAGATCAAGCGGAAAAATATCGTTTAGGTTACTTTACGATGACACATGTGTCATCTGCGCTGTCGTAAACCCCTCGCGATCCGTCGACAATTGTTCGCCCGGCGAGTCTTACTTTAAAGTGGCCTGCAGACTTACGCGACTTATCATATATTAGCAGCATGTTATTATCAAACGGCCTAGACCATACGGGTGATTATCATATTTCCTGTCGCGCCGTACCGGAATTAACGATCGCGCATAATACCGGCGATAAAAACGAACGCACAATGTATGGGGACGGCAATGCGACGATCCAGTCCCGACGAACGAGCGACGTCGCGAGAATCAGGAGCTGTCAAACGCTGTCAACCACCGTGGCCAACTGTTTCCCGCATTTTACTGCCATCTGCAATACAGAGAACTAATATACGCGATCGCAATTATAGATTTGTCCCTTGTGAGCGCGTTACACTACTTTCTTCACTTAAAACGAAATAAATATGAAATTAGACATTGAAAAAAACAGATCAGACGTATAAAAAAAGTTTCAGTCTAATGACAGCAGACAGCAAATGAGCTTGTTATCGACAGATAGGACAAATTATTATATAATTGAAGAACGTTGACATTATCGACTTTCTTTCCTTTCAAAAAAAAAATATAATTATGAAAACGTTTAGAATCAATAGTTAATTTTAATTTCGATGTACTTTTCTTTATACGAATTCTTTCTGGGTATAAAAACAAAAAAATAAAAAATTGAGGGACAACATCACACGGTGTTCCCAAGCGGTCAC